CAATTTAACAGAGATATGCAATTGGGAACTGCATGACCTGCAGGGTAATTGAAATATGGCAAGCTAGCATACTCTGTCCTTAATTTCCCATCCTTTCTGTTCTATCCTCTTTTTTGCCCCTTTAATACTGATCACCTCAATATGTTTTAGGTCTGGAAAGTGAGATCTAAGGATGGTGAAACTGGGAAGCAATTTGAATGAAAAGAACAAGCAGCAACCGTCCAATGAGGATGGTTTTCAGACGGTTCCTTTGATAACACCCTTGGAAGTAAATCATTTGCAGTTTCCAGCTCCAGAAAAGGTAAATGGAAAACAAAGCAAAATCTAAAGCAAAAGAAAAGGAGAACAGGCAAAAATGCGTCCCACTATTCTGCTCTGTTGCCTTTCAGAAGCATATAGAAAAGACCCATTGTTCTCTTTAAGGGGGTTGACGTTTCCTGTGTGCACCTGTGTGTTTTTAAAAGCAGAGCAGACCAGCATATAAAAGAAATGGTTCAGGGCTAAAGCCTGAAAAATGGTGGGGTCTGTTCATCCCATGGAATACAGTGTGTGGGTGTGGGTGTGTGTGTGGGGGGGATAAGTTTATTTGAACAATCACAATGAATCTGTGTATTTTTAAATCAGCTTTAAAATTGCAACCCAATTGTTTATCTGATATGAAAGTAACCTGCTGCAGTTCAGTAAGAGCCATGAATTCTTTTTGACAAAGTATCGCAAGGGATGTTTCATCCCCCACCTCCATTACTTTATGGGAAGAGAAGGCTTTTGTCAGGCAAGCCAAAGCTCAGATTTTGAATGGCATCCTCAAAAGTCAGTATCATCAACTCACTTCTTATTGGGTCATTATTTTTATATGGTCTGTTGTCTAATCTGTACACATTATCCCTTTAGTATTATTATTAGAAGAAATAACGTAAGGTCATAAATGCATCTCATATTCATTTGATCTGTGTTTTATGGGGAAAAAGAATCACTGCAGTGCATCTGTACATTCAGTTCTCAACCAAAAATATGTAGAAAAGCACACTATGTGGACGGGATGCCTACATGCAAAGGTGAAAAGAGCAAATTATTGCATCAGCTTAATTCATCTCAATAACATCACCCTCCTGCCAAAATATTAAAAGTTCGCTTTTTAATATGTTATAATGAGTCATAATGTATTTTCTTATGTAGAGGAATTCCACTAAAGTAATTTGGTGATGCAGTGATTGAGAGATAAAATGATATAAAAGATTAACAATCCATAAAATTGCATTTCTGATTGCAAAGAGGTGTAATCTGAATTACTTCTTAGAAGCAATGGATATGATGGAAATATTGTGATAGAAAAATAAATTTAAAAAAATTATCTTTGAATCTTGAAATGTTTATTTTTTTCTTTCCAATAATTTTAAAAGCTTATTTATTTATCCAATTTATATGGCCACCCTTCTATCCAGGAAACTCTAGGCAGCAAATCAAAACAGAATTACATTAAAACAAAACAAACAAACAAACAACTACAATGGGATTGAGGATCAATAAAAACACAAAACCACTAGACACATCCATCCATGCCACAGCTCCCATACTAATGTCCCTGCCCCAATGCCTGGAAGAAGAGCCAAATCTTCATGGCCTTGCCAAAGGCCAATAGAGTAGGGGCTGTCCATATTTTGGGGGAGACTGTTCCGCAGGGCAGGCACCATAACAGAGAAAGAACATTTCTAGAGACTTGCTAGAAAACATTATATTATCAATGGCACCCACAACATGAATATGTGGGGAGAGTTCTTTATTGGTGCCAGTATTCTAGGATTCATTTTATTTCTAGCGTCTGCAAAAAAATTCTAAAACAAGACTAATTTTCTCTTCCTCTCCTTTTCATAAATGATATACATAGGAGGCACATGGTTCTAACAATTTGTGAGGAAGACTAAACACTTCAAGAACAATAATCTCAACAACATAGAAAAGAACATAACTCTGTCAGTGATTATTGCTGTTGATTGTTATATATAATTTGCAGGATCAGAACAATGGGCTTCTCAGTACTTTCCTGTGGAATGCCTTCAGAAGTGTGCTGGTGCCTTTATGCCCTGCTTGTGGATTCCCATAGTCAGGATTGGAGGTAGAATACTGTGCTAGATAGGCCTCATTCCTGGTTCACCAAAGTTTACCTTGTTTCAAAGTAAAAGCAATCGCTCTGAACTTAGGAATGGTACATACTCCAGACAAGAGCATTGTTTATCCAATACATAGGATTTCTAACACAGCAGGCTTTTGTTTAAAAGATCAATTTGTAGTAGTTCTAAATAAACCTAAGCAGTTGATCCAGTGGATAGCATATTTTTCTTGGGACATGGAGATCTGGGCCTGTACCCTTCTTCAACCATACAATTAATTTAGGCAAATATTTCATTTTCAAGTGGGAATAAAGGTGATATGGACTTCATTCTGTTTAGACAAGGAGCTCAGTGCATATGGATGAATGGCTGGGGCAAACAAGTTATTAGAAATGCAATCCAACATAGATTATGTGGGTGTCAGATCTGGCAGTCAAGGGCTTAAGCAGATCTTGAAAAAGCTTGAAAAATTTCATGTAGCAGTGATGATATCTAGGAATCTAGATGTTTTGGAAAATAACTGCCACAATTTCTTGGTGATATTGGTCAGAACTGATGATTTTTAGAGTTTCAAATATCTGGTGAGCTGCAGATTATGTGAGTCTGTGTAAAGTGACAGAACAATATAAGGTGTTACCCAATCACTAGCTTATGTTTCCTTCATCCAAACTTTCATTACAGTATAGTATTTGGGGCTTTGCTTACCTATGATGAATAAAGTTATGAGCAAAACGGAATTATGCTGTCATTTCCCAACTGTTGCCTTGTCAATAGGTCAGATTCTATTTGGTCTTTGGTCAGGAACTTGTAAGTCATATTATCCTTGGTTTATGGAAGAGAGGATATCAGCATTTACTGAGAAATACATAGAAGTATATACCACAATCTATGTACTTATATTTTTAAAATCAACTCTTACTATAGATGCACAATTCTAGTAGATGTTCCAGGAAAAGAGCCTTGGAGAACATTGGGAAATGATTACAAATCATCAACTTTATTTCACAACATTTTTATATGAATCAAGCAAGCTCTATTTCCTATAAAGATGCTTTGGAAATTAATAGTAATTTCCTACATGCAGTAAAGATGATAATTCCCCCCCCCCAAAAGCACTAGTTAAAATTCTGTTACTCACTCCTTTCATATCTTCAGGGCATAAAAAGCATCTGTACATACACAGATAACTGATAATAAAGACTGGCATAGCATAAGCTATATATAGCAATAATTTGATATACAATGATATCTCATTTAACAGGATATAGAAGGAATTTATATTTACCTACAAGTTTCTTGTGCACCTTGGGGTACATCTGTGACTTTAGACCAAGGACATAACATACCATGTATATTAAAGATCAACAGTATTATATTATTATTATATTATGTTTCATATGAAAATTAGGCCTTTTCTAAGAAGCTTTTAGTGAAGGAAAGCAAGCTCACTGATGGCACTAGAAAGAAAAATAAAATATCGATCTGTTATAATTTATTTTTTTAAAACAAATGGGAGAAAAGATCCTTCTGAATACAATGAAATATTTAACATCTTGGAAAAGGCAATGATTTAAAAAAGCATTACTCAAAATCATTTAAAAATAGGGATATCTCAAGCAATTCCCAATTTGCCATTCTTATGTCAACTCTTCCATGCATGTATATTTCATAGTGTCTGAGTGTATCTACATCTACCTCTGTACATGTGTGTGAGTTCTCCAGCCAAGGCCATACAGAAGCTCACTCTCTAGTATACTGCCTAAAAAACAGTTGTGCAGATGATGAAATGCATTACCCTGTCTCTTAATGCAACACAGCTAAAATTAAACTGGTCAGACCAGACCAGCACATGTAATTGTGGTAAGTCCAAGGACAAGAAATAATAAAGCATCCCTTTCTTCAGAAAGATCTGAAATTGGCCAGTGACCAAGGTAGTAGCCTGGAATTGTTTAGAAATGTTTTTTTTAAAATTATTCCTAAATAGGAATTGCTGAGCAGATATCTCCTGAACAATGTTCTATTAATCAGTTGAGGCGTTTTAAAGGAAGAGATTTTGTAATGAGCATCAAGTTTCCCTGATTTACAAATCAATCCATCTTGGAGGATTTTGGAGGTTTTCACTGCATATCTAATTAAGAAGGACTGAAAATAATATCCAATCTCTGGTCTCTTTTAAATTCAGTTTTAAACTTGTATATGTGTCAATACACTGTATACATCTCTTAGGCGGTGGGGTGGAGGCAACAGTATGTTGGCTTGTAAGGTATTATCTAGATTAAAGATCCTAGCTTGCATAGAATAGCATGAACATGCTTGGGGTAAAAACGGTTTTAGTTGCACTGTGACATACTGCATGAAAAGTGCCAAAACTGTTAGAAGTGGTAAATATTTATGGGCCCATCTATAGGTGACTATTCCAAGATTGTAACTTGGAATATAAAAGGACAAAATTGTACAGAACCTGCATTAACAAATGAAACCAAAAATGAAGGGAAAGGAGATGTTGTAATAGTTCTGAATGAAGCTAGTAAGATCTTGTGGAGTGGAGATGATAATGAAAGCATAGGTTTAATTATGAACGAAAGGTACAAAAGGTAGAAAGTATGAACTGATCTCATCCCAGTTACTGTGCAAACATACTTTAAGTTGGTGATAATTGCATGTTTTGTTCCAGTGCATGGTGATAATGGAAGAACCAAAAGTGAATTTCGGAAAAAATTGCACAACATTCTGAATGGAAAAAAAAAATCTGTAAGGTGCCAGGAATGGTACATAGGAATGGGATGAGAATGTATGGAAAAAGTTGTTGGAGCATTCAGAATCTCAAGAATGAGACTAGTGATTATCTGGTGGGTATCTACTTAGAAAAAAAAAAATCTGTTTCAAATACATGGTTTAAGCATTATTCATACATATACATGGCAAAATAATAAATATAAATGTAAAAACAGAATTGATCATTTATGATGAAAGACTGAAAGGATTAGTGAAGAATACAGGTGGTGTGCTGTGTGATTCAGAATGTGGGACAGATAATTCGGTAATATCAGAAATGCATCTTGGGAAAATGGACATAGAAAGGAAAGAACAGAAAGAAATGAGAGGAAATTAGAATGACTACTAGAAGTGAATATATGTATATACACACAGATACACACACATGCGTGTGTGTGTATTCTCTTCCAACACATAG